GTCTCCTGGTATTTAATATTATCTGTGACTGGGACTCCCTTGCAGAGATAAATAATGTATGTCAATGACCTTACTGCCTGTAGAAGTGATAGATGAATGAAAAATCCCTCTTCAGGGTGCAATTATTGAGTTTTTGCTGTCTTTTGCCATAACCAAGAGTTAAACACTGTATATGTTACAATAATAATCAATTTCACTTGAAACATACATTTAAAAAAAACCTACAAAATCATTGGATTGAAGTTCAAACAGTTTTGTGGTTCCAATACTTGCCATGTTTCAGACTTGTAGTCTTTTTCCTGTATCACGCTCTACAGTGAACCTGTGGTTTTCATGACCTTCTGTCATCTCGTTCCTGTTTTATTTTGAAATCACGAACCGGTTGTCTCTGTTGGGATTTACTTCCTGCCCCTGTCTCGTCACACCTGCTCCCTGATGGCTCTCCCTCACCTGTTTCCCATCTCCCCTCATTACATCATGTTTATTACCTTGTGTGTCTCACAGTCTCGCTGCCAGTTCGTTGCACATTCACAGTCTTCGTAGCCTTCCAGCGTTCTTCATAGTCTGCTTTGTTACGACCTCGCTTCTGTTTTTGACCTTGCCTTTCGCCTATCGTTTTTGGATACCTCTGCCTGTTTTGACTAACCTTCTGTGTACTGAACCCTGACTGGTAATAAACCTGCCTTTTTGCATGAACCCTGTCTGTGTCGAGCATTTGTGTCTGCCTAGTTCTGATCTGTGTGAGTTATTCTTCCCTCTGCTGCTCGTCCTACATGCTGCCACTTCCCTTTGCCTCTCGTGCCATGAGTTCATTTAAATGAGGTGTATATACACTGAACAATGAAAAATATAAATGCAACACTTTTGTTTTTTTCTCCCATTTTTCATGAGCTGAACTCAAAGATCTGAGACTTTTTCTGTGTCCACAAAAGGCCTGTTTCTGTCAAATATTGTTCACAAATCAGTCTAAATCTCCGTTAGTCAGTACTTCTCCTTTGGCGAGACTGAAATGTAACGATTGTCAATAACAGTCGGCACATGTTGTAGCTTGCAGGAGGCAATGCTACAGACCAAGTAAACCAGAAAAGGTGTGTTAAGGTTAGAAATGAAGAAAAACTTACTCATGCAATAGGCTGACACATGCAGATCATTCCTCGTATTCTCACACCACGGCTTGAGGAGTTAATCAGTTCAACGAGCTTCATCTGTGGGATCAGGACTGCAAATGGCACCGCGCTCAAGAAAACCTTTTGCAAAAACGTCAAGTTTTACAAGTGATTTTAAATTTGAGTTCTTCCTTATAAAATACCAGGAATTGAGTAAAAACAAACATTTTCAGTCAAAGTTTTTGCTCGATTACCGGCATAAGACTCAGGCAGGGCTGTTATTTAGTTTGTCTATTTAAAAGAAAACCTCCTTAAAGAGGTGGTTCCACACTGGTGAGTGAGTCGTAGCTCATGCAATACAGAGAAATAGTCAAGAGGCCGAAAAGCAGCTGAGATTTTGCAGCAGCTGAAGCAATAGCCGCTCTGAGATTTTTGAGTGATTCAGAGCGCAGACAAACTTGGTCACACAGAGCTGAATCTTTCTCATACATTAACAGTGGAAAAAAAAAAAAAGGCAATTGTCAAAAAGAAATGTTTTTCAGTGGGTTTCAGAATCACATAAAGCCCAAAGTTCAAACAGTGCCAGTTATCCTGAATGGCTTTAGCTGCACTGTACTGCCCAAGATGGATAGAGCTGTGTACGGGTGGTGAATGGTCACACTGTTCCAACGAGACTGCAACGCCAGCAAAGCAGTGGGAGGAACGACGTGGGCTGGAATATCAGGATGTGAGATATCCGATCCCTTTAGGATGCCAAACTGACCTCTGCAAGAGTTCCCGTTTCTTGCCAGAATCTTGCCTTATGGAATAATGTCGTTTCCATGCAGGACAATGCAACACTCCACGATGCACAAAACACCACCGACTCCCTGGTTACTCTGGGAATGAATGAAGAAGAAACTTGGCGACAGAAATGACAACTCGGGGAATCAACAGTGGGAGAAAATACACACAGAGAGTTATTAAATCATATGTCTTTGTGTAGCATGAACTGTATACATATATATATATTTTTTTGAATGCAAGAAATACAACAGATGTCTGTTTTGAGTTCATTACGATAGATTGAAAAACTCCCAACTGCTAAACAATTTTAAACAACGCATTAAAAACAATCTGTTCTACCGCATCCACATATTATAAAAACAAAACGTAAATTGTGCTGCTTTGGAAAAACTGGATTTTTATGGCTTTGTAGGATAATTTGTTATGTTGTTTGCTAGTGGTTTAACAGTGGGCATAAAGCTGCTGTCATTAGCAGTGGCACTATAATATAGCTGTATAACTAACTGGATTTCCACCAGCAGATGTCCCCACAGAGTTACCATCACCCACTCTCTCTTTCTGCATTGTATTTGTTCTTTTCTCTTCATGACAGACTTCATCTCAGGCGCATTTAATAATAAAAATAGGTCATCTCAGTGACTGTGACATCTTTTTCATTTGTCTGTGAGCATGTAGACCCTGTGAAAGTCATCCGTTACCCAAAGAAAGAAAGTGAGTAAGACCAGTCCTTTGTAAAAAGCATTACTGTTGGTCTCTAAT